GGGGGGGGGAGCAGGGCGTTATTCAGTCACTATAGTGATTAGCCGCCAGTAGCAATTACAACACAACTATAGAGACAGGAGTACAAAAATAATGCAATATGCTGATGTATGTTGGATGTTTGTGCTCACACTCAAACACAAGATGTTGCTTTTTGTAACGCCTCAATAAAAAGGCCATTACTTTTGAAATGTGTGTTTATCCTGTGATAGCATGAAGCAGTGGAGAGTTATCTGCTGGGGCCTCCACACATCTGGAGGAAGCTGAGTAATGCGACATCTTCTGTCATTTGAAATAAACACCATCCACAATAAAATAACACTCACAGTCACACATACTAATCTGTGTGGGAGGTTACATCAGCTGGAATGAGAGTGAGGTTGGACACTGATACATTAGACAGACACTAAAGTGAGATGGGCCAGCAGACATCACATGCTCCGGTTCCTCCAGTGACATACAGGCTGGCTATGTCCCTTTAGGATGCATGACAGACGGCAGTAACAGGTACCTATTAAAAATAAAGATGACCCGAGAAACAACAGGAAGACACACACTGAAGGAGGTGAGAAAAGAAGAACATTCCCTTCTTTCCCGTCTCTCATAAAGAGAAGAACCCTACAGGCGTAGATGAGGGATTCCACAGGGACCAGAGCATAATCTTCTACTAAGACTACTTGAAGAGTTCACTGTGTACGACTGCAACAATAGTTCCTACACTGAAGCTACATGATGGCTACACTGAAGGACAAGCTCAAACTACAGACAGCTTTTTCTGTGCAGTGTTTGTACACATTCACTCTGGCACATCTGCTATTTTTGGAAATATTTTTTGGCAATGATCGATTCAGCAGGATTGAAGAGATTAAGGGTCGTGCCTACCTCAGCGTGCAGCTTTGCACTACTGCCCAGCGGACATGTCCGTGGCTTCTGTTGACTGCTTGTTTGCACTGCGGACACACTGCTGCTGCAGTCAGCCGCTAACACTACGGGCTGGTGGGAACTTTTCATGGACGTCTTTCTGCTGTTTTGGGGGGTTGATTTTTGATAAAAGAATAAAAAGATATAAAATAAGAGAAAAACATGATTAATAGAAGCCCATCATGGACCAATGCACCCTTGGTATTGACCTGTGGTAAGTATCTGGATTATGTCATCAGCATACAGGAAACATTCCTGGTCTGGAGAGGTGTGCATTTGGTTCAGAGTTGCATCGCTGCTTTGACCTGTTTGCAGGTCTGGTTTGCATATTGAGATCCAACGGTGATGTCGGCAGAAGTGAGATAGCAACAGGTGGTATTAATACCAAGTGTAGATGTTATTATCCAGATAAGGAATCTAGGCACAGATCACTTGTCAATACCAGGCTGAAATGAGGTCACGTGGTTTGTTTGTGCAGACCCTGATGGTAAAATATGGTCCTGGTTGAAGATGGCAGGACTTCTACTTTTGAGACATAAAGAGTCTTCTCTGCAGACGGACAGAGAAAAGACACCATGAAATCTGTCATATGACTGAGTCAGAGGCAGGAGAGTTGTGGTTGAGAAGTGGGTTCACAATGTGTCCTGAGAAACAGAAGAATACAACGTGGCACGATTAACCCAGCACGCATGGTGTTTCATTTTACAAGTGGTCTACGTATCCAGTTAAATGTAACAGAGTCCATCAGCAAACCCACAAAGTGTAAACCCCTACAAAATATAAGTTAAAGAAAAATGCATAGGTACATACAGTATATTCATATATTAGGAAAAGAAACAAAGTGATTAGAAAACTAGAATTAAGTGGACTTTGGAATAGGAATTCCTCTCTCTCTCTCTCTGTGTGTGTGTTAGTTCCACTGCTCTCAGAGGAAACCCCCACAGTGATGTCATCACCAAGCGCCAGTGGAGAACAGATGTTAAACCAGAGAAACAACAAAGAAGTTCTGAAAGAAAAGGCAACAGCGGTCAACGGTCGCTGATGACGGCTTCTCGCTCATTTAAAACAAGCCCCTCCCCCTCTGCTTCCTTAGCAACAGTGGTCAGAGCAGCATAGAGAGAAGTATGTGGATTAGAGCAACACATGGTGAGGACATGATGGATGGGCTTAGGGGTCATTTACAGTGGTTTGAAGGGTCAGAGGGTGGGTGGGGCTCAGAGCCATAGCCACTGTTAGAAGTCATAATGAGCAAGTTCAATAAGGCAGAGAGCAGGCGTGGGGGGGTAGTAGTGGTGGCTTTAATACACAGTCAAAGTTCAAAGTGAGGAACCAGTCAAAGTCAAGCAGGGAGGGTTAGTGGGTAGAGGGACTTCCTCCACCCATCCCCCTCTTCCTGGTCAGTTCCCTCACTGCAGCATCAGCTGTTTGAGGTTGTCGTGCAGGATGGTGTCCTTGACGTCGCGGAACACCAGCCGGATGTTCTCGGTGTTGATGGCTGTGGTGAAGTGGTGGTACAGCGGCTTCTGTTGCTGTTCTCGGCGCTTTTTGCGAAAGCATTCCACCAGGAAGCGCTGGACGTCTGCCAGGCTCGAGGGGTCGCCCAAGAACTCAGGGAAGTAGTCTTTGATGGAGACCTGCTTCACCTTCTCCTCCAGCAGGTCCGTCTTGTTCAGGAACAGGATGATGGAGACGTTGCTGAACACCCGGTTGTTGACGATGGTCTCGAAGATATTGAGGGACTCGCTCAGCCGGTTGGTCTGCCGGTCCTCCATCAGCACCTGGAGGTGTTAGAGTGCAGACGTGTGCTGGGGTTAAAGCGGATCATCACAGTGGCACGTGAACCAATCCTTCAAATCCCTGCAGTGAAAAGGGCACACCTGATGCCTCAGCACACAGCGTGGCTCACAGCCCACTCACCTGGTCGTATTCAGAGGAGGAGACGAGGAAGAGGATAGAAGTGACCGAGTCAAAGCATTCGAACCAGCGCCGCCTTTCGGAGCGCTGACCGCCTACGTCCACCATCTTGAAGGGCACGTTCTTTATCTCAAAGTTGTACTCGTGGATGCCTTTAGTGGGCTTTCTGGCCAGGAGGATGTCCTGTTGGCTAGGGAGGTAGTCCTGCAAGCACATTATCAGATTGATTATTATCTTATAAAAACATGCCTAATTAACAGTGTTTTAAAGAGAAAAGTCGCCATTTCTCAACCTGAGCTATCAGAGTTAGGAATATAGTGTGAGGAATGATTGAAGTTCTTGCGATGCTCTCTGTGTCTTCCTGCATCCAGTGATGCGACTACAGAGTGCCCATCACAAGATGGACGGCTGATAAGTGTGAATGAAATATATGATATGGAACTGTTAACTCACAGAATAAGAGCGATGTCGTGAGAAATGGACGATGTTTCCATGTCAACGATTAGACAGGATGAGAACCCCTGAATATGTCTCAGAATGGATCAAGCTTTTGAGGGGACAGAGCAATCGGGATCCTTTTTGTTTTTCCCTTTTTCTGTGTGTGTGTGTGTGTGTGTGTGTTCTGTCTCTGATCAAAAGGCAACAAAAATAAAGTGTGAAAAAAAGAAACGGAATCATGCAGCTGTATTGAACCTCAGTGTGGGCAGTCGGCGGAGAGAGCACGCTGCGTGCATGAAGGTGCTCCTCAGTGGGATAGAGGTGTGCTGGAGACACAAGGAGCTGCTCAGAGGGCTTAGAGCCGCCATACTTTCACGTCTTACTCTGTGAATTAAGGATTGAATTTAACCCAATCAGAGTTAATGATTGTTGGAAGGGTGGAAAGACGAGTTCGGTGTGTTTTATTTAGTTTTTGTCCAGTTTGAAATGAGTGTATTTTACATTAACTTAACTAGGCAATTAAGCCTTATTAATTAAGTCATATTCAGACGCTGTACAGTTGTATTTTTCTGTTTAGGTGTTATGAATAATAACAATATAGTTGTGTGTGTTTTTTTTAAATTTTTTTTTTTTTATATAAATCAGACATAGCGAACTCGCCCCTCGTGTGCAATGCATGCTGGTACATGTAGGCCTGGCTCCGCAGCAGGAGAGATCTCTCTCTGTCAATATAGCAGCACTGGGGAATGTATTTCTCCTGTGGACTAAATTTACCATCAGCACTGATTGGACATCCACATGGAAGGAGGCACATTTTCCCTTTGAGCTGCGTCGGTACATTTTAAGGTCTTCAGATTTGACAAGATGTAAAAAGAAGGATATTTTTCATGGTACATAACTTTGAGAGAAACACATTAAGCATAGCACCTATAAAATAATCTCCAACTTCTCTCACACGCAAATATGAGCGTTAGGGAGAGAACCAGAGATCTTTGTGTTCCAGATAAAACCAGTGGTGCTTTGGGGACTTCTCTCTTTAACACTGCATTCCTGAAATACCACAGCGCATAAACAAATGTGGAGCTTCAGGAAGAGTGTCTGTGATGGGGTGGGGGGCACCTTTAACTACTCAGGATCAAATATGATCACTATTCCCAATCATGGTGTGACTGTGTGTGAGAGTGTGTGTGTGAGCTCTGGTTACATCAGATCCTAATTCATGACATTCCAGAGGTGATGACTCATCGCTGGCATGTCCACACACAAACACACTAACAAATAACGCATCTGGTTTAAAGGTCTGGGGAAAACCTCTCATGCAGTATTCATGTTAGCACACAGCAAAGTCAGCAGCTTGGGTGGTTACTAGTACAGCTCAGAGTGGCACATAGTATTGATTATTATTATTATAATATTTATAACAAGAGGGAATATCTGAGGAGGCTCTTGGGCCTGTAGCTGAGTGCCTTTGTTGAGGCTGAGGGAAAATGATCCGTTGTAGCTTATTGTTTGGACTTATTACATATGAACTTACATTCTCTGAAACATCTGTGTGTTCATGAGAAATAATAATATATTAATGTTTTCACATTAATATAAACAGTAACTAACGACAAGATTTGTTTTAATCCATAAAAATATTATATTGTATTTGAACTATACACTATAGATGACTATAACAAAGTAAAAAGAACAGTTAGAAAGTTTGATGGTTTACTGACTTTAGAGCGGCTCAAATGATTTTTGGGACGGTGGCAAAAATACTAATAGTAATAGGATCCTTGTAGACCAGCTGTATAGTCAAACAACAGAGAGATCTGGATCTGTTAATATGGATCATCAATGATCAATAATTCGTATCAGCGGCTAAAGAAACATGATCAGGGATCTAAAAGTTAAATTTGCTCTGTGATCAGTGACTCTGATCTGTGATACGATCCGAACAGTGAGGTTCATGATCTGTTGCACCACTACTGGTGTCTGTGATTAGTGGAGCCTCTGCAGTGTGGGTGGGACTTACCGAGTGTCCAAGCTTTTCCAAATTGTCCAGGAAATACTTGACTGACTCACCCTGAGAGAGAGAGAGATGCAGAGAGAGAGAGAGAGAGAGAGAGAGAGATGCAGAGAGAGAGAGATGCAGAGAGAGAGAGAGCGAGAGAGATGCAGAGAGAGAGAGAGCGAGAGAGAGAGCGAGAGAGCGAGAGAGATGCAGAGAGAGAGAGAGAGATGCAGAGAGAGAGAGAGAGCGAGAGACAGAGAGGTTTTAGTGACTGTGTTTAGAGCTGTGATAGTATATACTGTACATGCAGCCACCAGTCCATCACAATAACAAATGTTACAATAAACAGCTGCCTCATCACACCTCAACATATATTCTACTAGTCTGTACAGGGGGCCAACACTAATTATTTCTTAATTATTAATTGTTTGACAAACAAACAATGAAACATTCCCATCTCAAGTTCCCAGCAGAGCTCATGTGACATCTTCAAATAAACCAAATATATTCATTACAGAGGATCAAGAAAACCTGAAAACATTTACACAGAAGCTGGAACCAGCACATGTTTCACGCTAACACAGGTAGTTCTATGTTCAGGGGTTGGAACTAGTTATATGATGATATTTAACATATGAATGGTAACTTTAATAACAATAACTTTGTCATGTTTGCTCAAAGTGTCACTTTATCCTGAAAGTAGTACATGAGACAGATAACGAGGTTCCGGTGCCTCCTCTCAGTGCTCTTCATGACATTTGAAAGACTCCACCAGAAGAAAAACAACCAATCAAAGCCGAGGATACTTTCTGCTGGGGATTTCTGATCAAAGTGTAAAACTAGGCAGTGCTGATCGAATACCAATCGAGAATCTTGATTATAAAACTATCCTGCATGTGTAAATGTGACCAGCAAAATATCGGAAATATGAGAGTGCAAATCTCGAATTGATGTCGAATTTATCAAATGAAAACATGGAATAAATGAAATGTTGCTCCCATATTTGGAGCCAATTCCTCCAGAGAAGCCTACAGCATTACTTATTTAGCCTACAGCATTACATAGCATTATTTTTTTTCAGCCATGCTTGCTGCTGCTGTACATTGCCATAACATAAACACATAGCAATATGAGTAACATAAACACATAGCAATATGAGTAACGTCTTAATTAGATGCATTGTTTTCACATTAAATATGCCACATTGATTTAATATCATAACAGTATGAATTTATTGGTATTGGCAAATATAATGCGAGTGCATGCTGGCAGATGCTGACAAGTGTTTGCCTGTTGGGGAAGAAAGCATAGTGACTTTGGTCACATGCATTCTTTCTACAGACCATAATACCACTTGTTTTATTTGAGGGAAAACAAAACGTATCGGTAGTGAAGTGGCATGTATAGGGCATCCCAGAATGATAGTACCTGTATAACCACAGTAACATTACAAAGAGCAACGCACAGCGAGCTAACTGCTCTTTGGATCTCAGCAGCTCCATGAAGAAGCTTGGCAGGCTAGTGTCACTGCAGGACAGTTGAAGATCACTACCCTGAGAGAAAGACTCTGTTAGAGCACAGTCTACACTGGTGGAGAGCAGTGAGGGAGAGCTGGAGGAAGGAAGGGCATGGGGAGAGAGAGAGAGAAGCAGCCCTTCATAGCTCGTCTGTGTGCGCACAGCAGCTGCAGCTCTACCATCGACTGTGAGGCCGAGCCTTTATCTGAGGCCGTCAATGCTCGTCTGTACACTGAAGCCCTTAGACCTACTCACGAGTAATCACTGGACATGCTACTAGAGGCAAAAGGAACAATCACGGAAGTCAAACCAAGCAACCCAGGGAAAACACTGAGGTACATGGGTCATAGCTTAATCAGTGCACAACACCAGAACCACAATCTATGGGACCCACCACTGCCCTTAACCCTTTGAACATGTATACAGCTTTAAACCACATTGCTTGTAATGTGGATGCTGGTTAACACCAACTCACCAGCTGGAACTCTCTGCGGCGGTTGTAGGCGTGCTGGACGCCCTGGTCAGCCCACAGGGCCCGGATGGACGGCAGGTAGTGCTGGAAAACCTTGGGCTCCACCATGCCGTGACCGTGGGCCATCACCGACCGGGTGTCAAACGCCATCATTGTGTCTCCGTGCCGCTGGTTGGACTGGTTGCCCCATGGGATGTGTAGCTTCTCTCGAGCATCCACCAACACTCGAATACCTGAAGCAGGAGGGAGACATGTCAGACTGGTATTCTAGTCATGATCATCGTTTCTTTGCAGATCACATTACAGCCTACGCTTCCTTGGAAAGGAACCATATACGGCACATATGTGGTTCTTTTAGAAAAAAAAGAACTGCAAAAAAATTTCCACCTTACATACATTTATTTTATTATTGGTTATTGACATTTTGGATGTGGCTCCACCAACAGAAGCTAAACATCATACCTGCTTCCAAACAGAGTAAAGGCTAAAGCAGCTTACTGCGAGATCAATCTTCTCTGGCAAATGGACCAATGTTTAGGTTTCAAAATTCACTGTTGTCTTATGACAGCTCATGTCACATGACAAGTCTGTTTCCAGCCAAGGGCATACATACAGCAGGTAATTACTGACCAAATAGCGACATATAAAACATGAATACATCACTGGAACACCAACGACAGTGCAGGTCTGCCTAGTCTTACATCTGCAACACTGAAAACAATATTGCATTGTATCTGGTGGTTTATTATTAGAGGTGCACCGATTGCAATCTTCCAATTCAGTTTCAATTTTCTTTCCAACAAAGAATTATCAGCAATACTCCAGACTAAATTATTATTTCTAAATTATAGAGCGTGGGCCTATCACGCCGTCCCTCGTGCTGCACTGGGACTCTCTGACCACGTCATGGTCCATCTGATTCCTGCATACAGGCAGAAATTAAAGCTCTGTAAACCTGTGGTGAGGAAATTCAGGAAGTGGACCAGTGAAACTCTGGAGGATCTTTGGGCGTGTTTAGACTGTACAGACTGGGATGTTTTCAGGACTGCTACCAACAGTCTGGATGAGTACACAGGCTGTAACGTCATACATTCTGTGAGGACAGATAGGACAGCTGTGTTCCATCAAGCACCAGGTTAGTTATAACAATGACAAACCCTGGTTTACAGCAGAACTGACAGCTAAGGCTGCACAAGGAACAGGCATTTAGGAGTGGGGACAGGGACATGTATAAAGAGTCAAAATACAGGTTTAGAACACAGGTTTAAAACAGGCAACACTGATTGAAGGTACAAATTCAGTTCAGAGTTTTTACTTAGTAAAATATCTTAATTGACTGTCAGTCAGGTATTCATTTCCAGCAACCCTCAAATCAAAGAATAAAGACACTTTACGCACAATTTAGGTGTATTTGCCCTTTAACTCACGAGATGCAGGTAGCATGTTTTATACTTAATGTGAATATAATTCATTTAATCTAATTTCCATTATGCAATATGTATACTTTGTTGGCATCTTATTCTGAAAACCGGATGTTCGTCTGAAGAAACCGGATGTTGTCTCACGTTAATCTTTCCGTTAACTTTCGAAGTCCTTCGCTCGCTCCCGATCTGCGCCGTTTGAATGAGTTTACCGTGAATTTCAGCATATAGGTGCACTAACATTTAAGTGTCTGCTGAGTTGACCACAGTCTCGCAGTCACAGGTCTGATTAAGAAGCGCTCCATTTTTTTATTCGTTTAGAAAGTTCGGGGGCATTTTTTGCCCCTCTCCTAGTGATATCAGGGGCAAAATGATATTTCTTAGGGGCAGTTTTACCCTTTGCCCTCGTGTATTTCCGACGCTGTGTATAATAAGTATATAATTTAGTTATCGCTACTGAGAATTTAACAAACATAAAAAACATGATGTAGATAGGTTTGCAGTTTTCAAGGTGTATATTTCAAATTGCATCTATTACACACATAAAGATAAAGTTGTGAACACCGGCTGAATATCTATTATCAGAATCATAATAACTGTTGAATTTATACCTCTAAAAAATTGTTCAAACCAACATTAGAACCTTCATGAAAGCAGGGTTCATGGCAGAACTGTTAGTTTGAGCTTGACCCACCTAGTTCACTGGCAAATGTCAACTGTGACTAAACAAGTGCAAACTAGTGATTCACAGGTGTCTGTTAACCAGGGGAACAGTAACTCCTGCACTCGGGTGCCATTCCGTCTCTGACTGAGGCAATGCAGCGCTCAGAGTGGAGGACTGAGCTGAAGCATTGGGTTTACATTACTGCTCTGTGAACTGTGCTTCACCCCTTCAAACAGGCCTGCTCTGACAATGGCTGTGTTCCTTGGCTGTTGGCAACACCTGGGTTAATCCAGCTGTCTGCAGACGTGTGTGTGTGTGTGTGTGTGTGTGTGTGTGTGTGTGTGTGTGTGTGTGGACAGCTGAAGGATGAGTGCTTTAAATCCGTCTACATATCTTGGGTTGCTGTGCCGATAGCTTCAGTTTTCATGTACAAAGACAGGAGGCTTTGCTTTGGACTGTAAAAAACACATGAGCACAGTCAACTTTTTGGTATTTCACAGTTGGGAACAGAAAACAGGATGAAAGACTTAACCTACTCATTACAATTTATACTGATGTCCAACAACTGTATATACTACAATACAGCAACAGGCTACAGGTCATTTTCAATGGAAGCTGGTGACATGAAGCTACAAGCTGACGGCCAACACTTGTTGCTGTGTGATGGGCATCACGCGCTACACTAGGTAGCTACTATACAGCTTCCGGGAGTAGTTTGGAGGTCCAGTGCCTTGCTCAAGGGCGAACTGCCACCTCTCCAGCTACCAGTCCACACTGTGTGTGTGTGTGTGTGTGTGTGGTGTATGTGCACATTGTAAACCAACATAGGTAGTGGTGTAATGGATCACCCCTCATGGTTCGGCACACGTGAACCATGGATTAATTGCATTTTTATTTTATTTTTTACAGTTTATACATCACAGTGTGAAATAAAGTTTTACTGCTGCTCATACTTTTTCCAGGTAATGCGTCTCTAAATATCTATGCAGAGATGCAGTGAACAGATATAAAGCAGTAGTGTGTTCCCGTGAACAGAGCGTGTTAAAAGCATTCGACGGTGAAAGGCATGGCAAGCGGAGGAACTTGAGAAGCCCCCGGCGTCATTTAATTCACTTTTGTGTTACTAATAATGAAGGAATTAGGGTGGTGGACAAAACCGTTACGGTATGTAGACGTTGTTCAACGAGAAAGATATACGACAATGGCAAAACATCGGGCATGTCCACACATATGAAGCGCCACCATCCTGGTCTGTCAGCAACTGGGGACAAACCACAACACCACCACCAACTTATCACGGCGACATTTAAGAAAGTGTTTGTGGTACTGTAGAATTAGACCGGGCTAAAGTTATTACAACATCTATTGGGGTCTTTATTGCTGCAGACATGAGGCCATTCTCCGTTGTGGAAAATAAAGGATTTCAAAATCTGGTTAAAGTGCTTGAGCTACGCTATGAAAATCCCCTCACGCACCCACTTCAGTAAGAAGCTCGTTCCTCTATGAAAAGGAAAAGACTGACTGCTCACTTCATCACAACGGAGGAGGAGATTCATAGTCCGGTGCTGCAGACACGCCCCCTCTGTGAGAGTCACACAGACACATATCGGCGCTAACCTCTCCCCAGACAATGTAGATATTCTCATCTTAAAAAAAAAAAAAAATACATCTTAGATATTGTGGTTTTCATGTAAGACTATAACCCAAAGTTCTTTGCTTTAAGTGTTCTTGAAGTTCTCCAATTAATAAATGGAAAGCAAAGTTATATTTGTCCACCCCCCTAATCTTTGCTGATCCGAAAAAGTATCCAACCCTTGACTCAAAAAACGCGGTACGATCCGAATCGTGAGGTTTGTGATCCGTTGCACCCCTAATCATAGGGCATGTCTGTAAATATGACCAACTGATACAGGAGCCACTGATCAATCAGCAACCGGTGGCTGATTGATCAGTGGCTCTCTACACCTGGACTGATATGAATATAGGGCTGCACGATTATGGCCAAAATCATAATCAGGATTATTTTGATCAATATTGAGATCACGATTATTTATTACGATTATTCATCAATTTTAGGGACATCTTTTTATTGCACTGTCACGTTTAAATGAACAAGAACACTGCTTCCACTTCCATTGTTGTGCTACATTCTGTCTAATGTACAAATCTTTGCATCAGACTGGTCCTTTCCACGATGGAGATTCAGTGAGGTACCGTTAGCTTTGGCCTTAATGCATTCGTCGTACTGTGGTTTGTGGTGATTTTTCAGGTGGTTGAACAAGGTAGTTGTATTGCTATGCGGCGCAGACACAACTGTAACGCACTCTGTGCATATGATTTGTTCTTGGTTAACATCACTTGCCCTAAATCCAAAAAACTTCCAGACAAAGGATGATGATCCTTTTCGAGGGGCTAGCTCATCGACTTCTGCTCCTGACATTTGATTTAGCTTTCACACGACACCCGTGACCGTCTGTCTCTCTACTCTTCTACTAATACCGGAGTCGACTGCAGACAGAACTTTTTTTGAGGCTGCCGCTGCAGGGTGCGCGCATAACACCTCCCATCTTGTTCTCCCCCTGGTGATTGGCTGACTGTTAGGAAGCTCTTGATTTGATATGTAACAGAGCACGCATTTTAAAACGTCAATATCGCTGACGATCATGCTCATTTAATGGTGGCAGCCAAAATCGTGATCGCGATTAAAATTCAATTAATTGTGCAGCCCTATATGAATATCAACATATCACATCAGAGTCAGGATGCAATGACAACTGCCTCATCTAGCCTTAATGGCGAATGGTGCCGATACACAATCATTTAGTCAATCAATAGGAAATACACAACAGTTCTTATGATCAATTAGTGCTGGGCGGTATACGGGTTCATCCGGTATACCGGTTTTAATTTCCCGTATGATATTCATTTTTCATACACCGCCATACCGGTGCACAGCCGAAACAACTGCTGTAACTCTTCAACAGGCAGCTAAATATATTGTGCTATATTGCGCTACGGTCAGAGCCAGTTGTGTAGAGTGTATTGAGACTGACCCCTAATCATGGTCATAACTTTATAACACAACAATTAATAACCCACGACTAACGCTCTTTAACAGGGCAAAACACCACGACACAACAGTTTGTGA